ACCAGCGACTCCCAACTAGCAGCAGTTACGCGCAGGACATGCTCTGAGCAGAACAATCTGCATAATAGCGCATGCAGTACTCAATTCAGCAGATACGCCAACACTACATATCCCAACACTAACATATAACACAACAAATGGCCCATCCACGCGGATGGCAGAACGACAGCTGCATGCACTGGAGCAAGATCTATCACACGAAGTAATATCATCCAAATGATACGAACAACAACACCACAGCCATGAGGAACGGTAGGGAACACATGTAGCACAACGAGCACACGCACAAGCGCCATTCGACCATGAAGTCGTCTCAGCACAAGAGGCAGTGCAGACAGCACTAAGACTCCAACAAGCAGAGAGCAACCTACTGGACATATACAACGACCAAGAAGCAGCACGCCTCATCATGGCGAGCGCGACAGAGAAACTCAAGAGGGCCAACCAGCACTACCAGCAGCGATTCTCACAGCAGAAGAATGCCAGCATGGTGCTGAAGCATGCGTGCAGCAACACACCATGACGAGTCACGCATACATGGCAGCACAAGATCAGTCTGAAAAGTGGTACAGAGAAAGAGAGGCAGAGCTAACAGCACTTCTACAACAAGCTAAAACAAGCTACGACAGAAAACAACGCGATCTCCAGCCAGGACAAGATCAACCGGTGCCAGACCTCGACCACGAAATCGATGAAAAGATACGTATCGACCATCACATCGAGTACGAAGACGTGCAGAAGAAGAACCAGACGAACTGCAGCGTCGACAAGTACAGCAAGTACGAGTAGAAGACGAAGCCAGAGGCCTACGAGACGAACTTGACGGCATCATAGACGACGACCTCGACGACATCCACGACAAGGACGACATGAAGGACATCACGACGACGCGCGCCAGCACGTGCGTACTAAAATACAGCACCTCACCGACACGCCGAACCCACCACAACAGCCAGCATCACTATAACGAGTCGACTCACCATCCGAGCCACCAACTACACCGACGGAACACCACTCACCCAAAACACCACAGCAACAAACTCCTCCTAGCACACCAACCGAGATATACCCAACAGGCACACCACAACCACAAACACCAGGACGCAGAGGAGCAACTACTATGCACGACTACACACCCACTGCCTATGGACGACAGTCCGTAATACGTTACGACACCACCGCAACAGGAGATAGCGGAACAGTACGAGTCACTCTGGCAGTTTGCTGAAGTGCAACCGCTGGCCATACAGCGCAAAGTCACAATCAGGTCGATTCCCAGCGATCGGCCTCAAGCGTCTCACTCGCCACCTGGGCATGCACCGCAACATGCGCCGACAATGAATGATAGTAACGTCGACTTAGCCGCAAGGCCGACAACAACTTCAAGGTCACTAGTACCAAAAGACTGACAGCCGACTTCGACCTAGTGGCAAACAGCAATTTCACCCAACACACTTCTTCTGACAAGACCCCAGGGGTCAGCACTACCAGATTACGGGATCCCATGCCTGACCCACAAAGAGGTCAGATGAGGCGTACGCATTACCCAGCTCGCGATACAGGCGACTCATTTCTCCCTAACCTCTCTTCGTGTAGTACGTATCATCATCTCCAACAGGGCATCCCAACGCATCTCTTTACCTCTATCCCAGACGCGAGCATAACCATAGCACTACAACGCGACCTTTCCGACATTACACTCCAGCCGACTGCACAACCAGCGCTCACACTGTACGACCGACCGCTACCCACATGCTCCACATCGCTTACATACCCCCATGGTTCATTTCCAGCCACCAATGCCGACTCAGCATGGGCATTCGCAGTGCTCAAGTACGACGGCCGCAAACCAAGCATGCACGGATACTAAGCTGGCAGAATCACGAGCAGCATCCACAACGACATCAACACAGGCGAACTCGGCAGCCCAGAAGTGGAACTAGAAACCATAATCTGGGCAACACTCTACGCCACACAACAACCGGCCCACTTACAAAAACAACTACACACATACTCAGTCAACGCTATCCACATACTCGATCAGATCACACAGAGTGGCGACCCAATCGCACGGATAGCACAAGTACTGTTCCACAAAGCGCGCACGCAACACTCCATAGCCATACACCACATTCATGGACACGGCGACCATCCATGTAATGAGCTTGCAGACGCACTATCAAAAAAACATGCCGCAATCAACTCTAACACGGAAGCAGCAAGCACGATCGACCCCAGATTTCATCAACCAGACGCACTACTACAAGACCTACCAGTACATCACAAACACCTATACTGGACCATCCACGAAAAAGATCCGACCAACGACGACCACGCCTATCCTATGATTCAGCGAGACGGATTTCACTACCTGGCTCACGTCGCACACCAACCTACACCACTCCCCACGGCAGCTGACGGGCAGACTAGCACCGACATGCGTCCACAAACAGCACTCACAACCACAGAGGATGAGACTATCGCGGTTCACTTCACTTTTGCCACTTGCAGCGCGCAGGGAGCAAATATGGACGCGACAACGCGACGAGAGGGCAACACTTCCGGGCACAGGTACCACTGCAAAAGGGGCACATCATGGGAATACAAGAGACGACAGCGCGGAGCGACTACAGCACAGCCGACACCTATATGCAGTTCACCACACCGCAGCACCCTTCCAGACTAGGATGCAGCTTGCTGGTCAGCACAGCAATGCCGTACGATACTACACTCAAGCGACAGCTTTATTTCGACTTCAAGCATTTCAGAGTACTTCACTCATCTCACCGACTGCTCATCAACAAGCTGCGTGCACCACTTATAAACGAAACCATATATGTCGCGCACACACCTCAGATGCATCGCGGCACCAGACATACTACCAGATGGTGGGATACGTTCCACAACCCGGCCAACAGACGGCCTCCCACATTCGTACTTGCAGACTTCAACGCAGGGGCCAACACCAGCAATATTCTGTGCATTAGCAACCTGGCACCACGAACACATCAACAACCGACCGACCCCTGCCTCGTCCGCTGGCTGCATCCGATGCTGCACTGCGCAGCGGGCCCCCCGCCCTCCCAGGAGGGGGGCTCGAGCCAACTCGAGGTGCGGAGCGGGAGGAGGACGAGGAGGAGAAGAAGAAGGGAGAAAGAGGAGGAGGAGGAAGCGGAGGACGAGGACGGGGAGGAGGACGAGGAGGAGGCGGAGGAGCAGCAGGAGTAGAAGGGGGAGGAGGGCGACGTGGACGACGGCGGAGGGCGACGACAAAAGAACGGGGATTATGTCCTCCGCGCGCCGTTGGGCCAGGGCGACGGCTTGCGCGCGCCTCGGGCACCGCTCAACTGCTGCAGAGGACGTAGGCGGGGCGAAGCGCTCAGGTGGGACGCCTCGAAGGGAGGTCTTCGTGCCGACCACCCGTCCAACCCTCGCTGCCCTCGTTGCGAGAAGAGGCAGGAGAAGAAGCAAGAGGAGGAGGAGGAGGATGATGAGGAGGAGGCGGAGCAGGAGCAGGAACAGGAGCATGAGCGGGGGCTTAAGGATAATAACTCATGATGGAGGGGATGAGGAGGAAAAGAAGAAAGACGCGCGATGCGGAGTGATGCTGCTGCTGCTGTTGCTTCTGATGGTATGTTTGATGCTGATTCTTAGGGCGGTGATGCTGCTGCTGCTGCGGCTGCTGCTGATGATGATGATGATGACGACGATTACCATGATGACAATGAGCATGCTGTTGCTGATGATGGCGATGCTGATGATGCTGATGATCATACCGTTATTGTTACTGCTGATGGCGATGATGACGATACTGATGATGACAACGATGCTGGCGATGGGGATGATAGTGATGGTGACGGCGGTAGTGATGGTAGTGATGGTGACGGTGATGATGATGACACTGTGATGGCGATGGTGATGAGTATGATGCTGCTGTTGCTGTTGACGATGAATATGCTGACGATTACGATGACGATGCTGGTGATGACGATGACGATGATGACAATGATGCTGGTGATGCTGATGATGACGATGTTGATGCCGAGGACGATGTACGTGAGTATGAGGAGGATGCTGATGATGCTGCTGCTTACGACGATGATGATGATGATGATGATGATGATGATGATGATGATGATGATGATGATGATGATGTTGATGATGGCCATGACGATGCTGCCGATGATGACAGTGGTGGTGATGATGCGGCTGCAGATGATGCTGATGCTGCTGATGATGATGGTCGTGATGCTGCTGATGATGATGATGATGCTGCTGCTGATGATAATGATGCTGATGACGACGAGGAGGAGAGGGGAGGAGGAGGAGGAGGAGGAGGAGGAGGAGGAGGAGGAGGAGGAGGAGGAGGAGGAGGAGGAGGAGGAGGAGGAGGAGGAGGAGGAGGAGGAGGAGGAGGAGGAGGAAGAGGAGGAGACCGAGGAGAAGGCGAAAGAGGAGGGGGAGGAGACTGAGGAGGAGGAGGAGGAAGAGAAGGAATGGAGAACTGCTAGGGCAGATATCTGGACTTGTGGTCGTTACGAAGACCACTGGCCTGCCTCTAACAACAGCACATGCTGCCGCGGGGGGGGTGTCGTCGACAAATTTCTCGGGACTAGCCCGAGTGGTCCGCTGAATACGAAAACCTATCAATCGGCTACACGCAAGAGTGACCGTAGGCATGGGTGACCTGGGGTGTGCGGCCTCGACCCGAGGCACAGGGGACCTTTGGTGCGCGGCTTCAGGGGGGGGGGGGGGCAACTCCGAGCGCGCAAATCCATGCTCGGGAGGCCCCCGTGGACCCGCACCCGAAGTCAATCCGGCGAAGGATCGCTCTAACGTTCGGCCGAAGCAAGCCTCTGCCGATGCCGCCGTCGGTCGCCCGCACCCGCGGCAGCCGCCAGTGGGCGGCACGCGACGGCAGGACGGCGGCGGCGGCAACTGCGGAGGAGAAGAGGGCCCCTTCGGGGGGCGGCAGCTGCGCGAGCCGCGCTGCAGGCGACCTACAGGGACACGATGGAGCGCTTCACCTGGAGAGGGGGGGGGGCGGGGGAGCACGGTGAGCACGCGAACGGAGGAGGCGGCGGGACTTGTGCCGGCCTCCGGCAAGAGCGGCGCGAGGAAGTGGCAGCGAATCGTAACGACAGTGCGGGCAGCATGTGGCATCGTATGCGTGCACCAGGCGAACACCACGTGTACACGTGGCGCACGCGAGTAGGGACACGCTACTGCAGCAGACATGCGTGGCGGATGCGTATGGCATGCGATCACAACAAGACCGCACGAGGCAAACGTGGGGAATGTAAACACAGTCTGAAGACATACATGGCATGCGAGCATGACGCAACACCACAGAACAACAAAACATACATATGTGTGCTTTGCGGCATGAGGTAACGAAACACACATGCGTCAGAGAAATGCGAAGACGAACACGACAGTCAGGTCAATCACGATTGACGATTGCATGCAAGTCGCTGTACTGTAAACAAACGCGTTACAGATGCAACAATGCAGTTACCCTCTAAAGCGCCACGCAAAGCATTCCCCCCCTATCCTCCGCCTCCTCTTGCCTCATTGGCCTGCTCCTCCTCCTTTCCCTCCTGCTCCTGCTCGACCTCCTCGTCGTCGTTGTCCTCCTCCTCCTCCTCCTCCTTTTCCTCCTCCTCCTCCTCCTCCTTCCCCTCCCCCTCTCCCTGCCACGGCCCTCCCACTCCACCCACCTCACCCCAAACTCCTCCTCGTCCTCGTCCTCCTCCACCCTCACCCTCTTCCTCCTCCTCCGCCTCCTACATGCACCCCCACCTCCTCCTCCTCCTCCTCCTCCTCCTCCTCCTCCTCCCTCTCCTCCTCCTCCTCCTCGTCCTCCCTCCTCTCCTCCTCTCCCTCCTTCCCCCTCCCCTCCCTCCTCTCGTTCCCCGCGCCGTCCCCAACCCCTGCCCCTCCTCATGCTCCTTCATCACCAACGTCGAACCGCACAAGCGCGCTCGTCTAGAGACACAGGAAACTGAATACTCTGGGTGTCTTAGTGCCCCCCCCCCCCGACGGGGGTCAACCTCGCCTCGTCGTCGCGCCGCGACGGGGGTCGGGGCGCCTTCGGCGCGCGGTGGCTGCCCACGACGGGGGTCGACGTGGGGCTGTCGGCGAGGGTGACGCCCCCCCTCGACGATTATTGAGAAACTCGGAGTGCACACAATCTCTCGGAGGTCCGAGCTGATGTCTTGGACCGGCCCCGGACCCCCCCCCGCCTGGCGCGCGGAGCGCAGGGGGGGGGGGGGGGGGCAGCGCCGATCCAAGACCTGAAGCAACTGATATTTAGGAAATACACGGCTCTTCCATGGACTGGCCTTACGTCGGGCGTGTCCCCCTACAGGGGGATTTTGGACGACAGCTAAAAGATACCCCCAAAATGCTCAACAATAGCAAAATAGTTAAACAAATCCCCACCAAACTGTTTTTGGACTATTTTTGAATATTTTTCCTGTGGAGGGACACGCCCAACTTAAGACTGGCCCCAGGCCGCCTCAGAGGAGTTGGTGGACGCGTCTGGGGCGCACTGCTGCAGGTCCTGCGGCCTCCTCGCGCACACGGCGTGCACCTCGCCGAGGGGGCGACCACCGCGGGCAGGGATGGGCCTCCTCTCCGCTCCTCCCTCTCCCCTTCCCCTCCCCCCTTCTCACCTGGACCCCGCTCTCCTTCTCTCTGCTTCCCCCCCCCCCACCTCCTTCTCCCCCTCCTCCTTTCCTCCTCCTTCTCCTTCTTTCCATCTGGCCCTTCTTCCCCCCCTTCATCCTGGGATAAGAAGGGGGGGTCTGCAGACAAGGGGAGGGGCTTGGATGAGGAGCAAGAGGGAAGGATGAAAGGAAACGGAGAAAGGGGACGAGGAGGAGAAGGATGAGGAGGAGGCGGAGGAGGAGGAGGACAGGGAGGAGGAGGGAGGAGGTGGGATCGATGTTAGGATGGACAAAGGGAGGAGGTCCGAGGACCGGGGGAAGCAGGAGGCGGATGAAGAGACGATGAGGGGAGGGGGACAGTGAGGGAAGCGGAGAGGGAAGCTGATAAGTGCGTGCCAGAGGAGAGTGAGGATGAGGAGGATGAGGATGATAATGATGACGAGGACGTGACTGTTGGTGATGTTTACGATGGTGGTGATGATGATGCTGCTGATGATGCTGATGCTGATGCTGATGCTGATGCTGATGCTGATGATGTTGATGCTGATGACGATGACGATGGTGAGGAGGCTGATGATGTTGAGGATGCTGCTGATGCTGATGATGATGCTGATGATGACGCTGATGATGATGGTGATGATGACGATGATGATGAGGATGATGATGATGATGCTGATGATGCTAATGACGATGCTGCAGATGATGACGATGCTGATGAGGATGTGGATGTTGATGATGGCTTTGGTGATGATTACGACGATGATTATGGGGTGGTGGAGGAGGAGGAGGAGGAGACCGAAGATGGCCATGTCTGCAAGCGAGCCAGAACGCGTACCCTCAGTCGAGGAGGGCACGGGCTAACCCACATATGGTGCTTCTCACTCATGAGGTTCTCTAGACATGAGGCCCCGGCGTGGGTGGGCCTCCTAGGGCAAACCTTCATGATACTACGGGCACTGCGGGGACCAGGCCATGCAACCAACATCCAAACAAACGCATCCTTCGCACACAGACCAATCTCACATGATGGCTCAACATCGCGGGCCGTGTCAAACACGATCCGCAACGTGTTTGGCTCCCTCGGGCCCAGCGCGCGGTAGCACGTGTAACCACGGGGACGCAAATACATCCTGGGCCATACTGTTTCAATGCGAATGCGCGGACGTCATGAACGACATCGAATGCTGCACTTGAGGCGCCCATTTGGGCCCCCTTCGCCGACAGCAGGAACCATGTTATGGCCACGATCCTTCACTTGCTTAGCAAGCTTGGGGCGAGGCTGTTAAAACGGGCGTGTCCAGACTTTTTTGGCCTGGGCCTTGGCTTTACTTTTCAGCCGAGGCGGGGGCCTAACTCCTTCGGAGACCTCCTGGAACCTCGAGGGAACCACCTCAGAAGCACGAACCCGAATTGACCTGCTTAGGGCCTCACCGATCCGAACTGCCTCAACTTCCCTTGCTGCAGTATGGACTTTTGCAACAATTGCCTGCGCCACCTTGTCCGCACTCTGCTTCCCAACCCAGGCGAGCATCAGGAATTACCTCTTGACTGGTGTCTCTGGGCTCATATGGGACTCTATCTTGATAACGATTACAAGCTTCCGCCCCATCCGACGGCAATCTGACATCACTCGGTCACACATTGAGGTGGAGACCAACCTTTCTCGGCACATCACCGCTGCCGGCCACGTGGACGGACGAAGGAAGCGTCCTCGGCGGAATCTTCCAGACACCTCAAAAAGGTCAATACGTCTCCGCGGTGGATGGTCTGTGCTTCCCGAGTGGCTTCCGTGGCGATCCTGGCAACCTGTGGCCTGCTCAGTGTACGCGGCGCCCCGTAGCCTGCGCTGGCGACAGTGGCAGATTCGTAGGGCACTCCCAGATCCGGTGAAGCACACATTCGCTCGCGCGCTGGTCAACTCGATCACATGTCTGCTGTATCCACTCTTCGGCCAACTGGCCTCCGTTCGCAACACTCACCAATGCACCTGCCCACGCATGATCTCCCCGCGCTCGTGCTGCTCGTAGTTGCTTGCGAGCATCTGTGCGGTCTGTGCCGTGGCCGCCCTGTGGACGGTCTACTCCAACGCAAGATGCCTCGCAATGCCGATGGCCGCTGGGGGGACCGTCCCGTCGCGGAGGCAGTCCATGCCGAACTTGCGAGCACTTCACATGTGACTTCCTGGTTAGCTCCAGGCACGGCCATAGAGCCCGCACGCGTTGCAAGCTGTCAGGAACTTTGTTTCCAGAAAGTGCTTCTTTTGGAGAGAGGGTGGACGGGGCGAACGGGGAAGGCGCGGCCATCACTCTGCCGATCCACTCGTCACAATGTCCACCGCGGGCCTCGGAAATGGATCATGGAGCGGTTCGAATGATCCCCAAACACGTAGCAGGGCCAGGGGGAACGAGGAGTTGCAAGCTGTCAGGAAGTGGACCCTCCCGCCGTCCAAGAGCGCGGGGTGACTGGATGTCCTGCCGCTGCCCAACACCGCGGTCCGTCCTGCTCTCACAACAAGCTCCAAGGCCCGTCTGTGGAGTCGTCCGCGGAAGCCCATGCCGTACATCAAACGGCGTTGCACCCCAAATCTCAAGATGCGCTTTGCATGCTCCACCTTCGTGCATCTCGCTACTTTTTCGGCGCGATGTTGAAGGGGAGGAGGGGGAGCGGACACAGCAGCGCTGTGACAAGCTCGGCAATGCAATCGTGAAGCCACTGAGCTACTTCACAGGCCGTGCACACAGGTGAGACCGAACCGTCCAACAGCATAGGAGGGCTGTCCTGCGAGCGATGGCTAACATCAATGGTATCCCTGTGTCCCTGTATAACGCCAGAACCTGCAGCAAACCCGAAGACGGGTAGACGTGGTCAAGAGGAGGAGGAGGAGGAGGAGGAGGAGGAGGAGGAGGAGGAGAAGGCGGAGGAGGAGGAGGAGAGGAGGAGGAGGAGGAGAGGAGGAGGAACGGGGAGGAGGACGATGCCGAGCGGGGATGGCAAGCACGCCACGCTGGTCACCGCCAGACTCCTGGCCACTCAGGGCGCCCACATGACCGCAGCGTGCGTGCATCTTGCACACCTGCTCTTTGCCTGAGCCCCCCTGGAGCCTGTGCTGCGCGTGTGCCAAGGGCGCCTTTCTTCTCTCGCCTCATCCTGCGTTCCTCCTCCTCCTCCTCCTCCCTCCTTCGCCTCCTCCTCCTCCTCCTCCTCCTCCTCCCCTCGCCGTCGTCGTCATGACCATTGTCGTCATCATCATCACCATCAACGTAATCATCCTCAGCATCATCCTCATCATCATCAACATCATCACCATCACCACCGTCACCGCCATCATCATCATCATCGTCACCATCATCAGCAACACCAGCGTCATCACCATCACTATTCGTATCATCATCTGCATCGTCATCATCATCATCATCATCATCATCATCATCATCATCATCATCATCATCAACACCATCGCCACCGTCACCAACGCCATCATCATCACCATCATAAGCATTATCATCGTCATCATCATCATCATCACCATCACCACCGTCATCATCATCGCCACCACAATCATCATTCGTAGCATCATACTCGCCATCATCATCAGCGTCATCAGCATCGTCATCAGCATTGTCATCATCATCACCGTCGGCAGCGTCACCACCAGCAGCACCAGCATCGGCATCATCACCATCAGCATCAGCATCATCATCATCATCATCAGCATGCTCATCCTCACCATCATCATCATCATCATCATCATCATCACCACCATCATCCATCACCAACGCCATCACCGCCAGCATCGTTACCATCACCATGACGATCACCATCATCATCGCCATCACCACCATCGCTATCTAAATCATTACCACCATCATCGTCAAGATCACCATCATGAACATGACCATACTCATGAACATCATTCTGGGTATCACCACTATCATCATCAGCACATCATCAGCATCATCAACACCATCATCCCCAACGCTCCCGTTCTATTGTCATCATCTCTTCCTCTCCCCTCCCCTCCGCTCCTCTCCTCTTCGTTTCTCTCCTCTCCACTCCTCTCCTTTTATCTCCTCTCCACTCCTCTCCTGTCCTCCTCGTCCTCGTCCTTGTCCTGATCCTCCTCTTCCTCCTCCTGTCGCCTCCTCAGATATCGTCTTCTCTCCTCCACCTTCTCCACCTCCTCCATCTCCACCTCCACCTCGTCCTCCTCCTCCTCCTCCTCCTCTTCCTCTCCTCTCCACTCGTCTCCACTCCTGTCCTCCTCCTCCTCCTCCTCCTCCTCCTCTCCTCTCCTCTTCCTCTTCCTCTCCTCTCCTCTGTTCTCCCCTCCACTCCCCTCCCCTCCCCTCCCCTCCTCTCCTCTCCTCTCCTCTCCTCTCCTCTCCTCTCCTCTTCTCTCCTCCCCATCATCATCATCCTCCTCCTTCTTCTTCTCCTCCTCCGACGACGACGACGAACCCCAGACCTGTGGACAGCCTCGGTCAACAGCCCGCCTCCTCCTCCCCCTCCTCCTCGTCCGCCTCCCCTCCGCTTTCCCACCCAGCCCTCCTCCATCCTCCTGAGAGGGGAGGGGAGGAGGAGAAAGATGCGAACGAGGATGGAGGATGGAGGAGGAGGCATGGGAAGTGGGAGGAACAAGAACAGGAAGGAGAAAGGGAATAGTATGAAGGAGGAGGACGCGGGATGATATGGCTGGTGTTCAACGTGGTGTGAAATTCTGCCGCGCTACTCATAACAGAAAGTTTCTGTGAAATCCCACCAGCCGTTTAGGCAAAGGTGGTCCAGCGAATCCTGTCGCTCCTTTTCCCCAACTCCTCTTCCTTCAGGGAGATCTACCCTCCCGCTTCCCTCCCTGAGGTTTTTGGGCGGGGGCCGCAATGTGGCAAAGGGTCTTTTTTTTCACCCAAGATGGCTCCAAGAGAGCCTCCCATGCTCCAAGATGGCCTCCAAAGCAGCTCAATATAGCTGAAGATGATTCACGATGGCTTCGGGCATGCCTCCAAGAGGCCCGACGAGGGCCGCAAAACGGCTCCAAGCGCTCTCGGAGCCTCCTCAAGACCCCACGGCGAACCAATGATTTGTGCCTTATCGCCTTTTCGCTTCCGATGCGCTTTTGAGGCCTCAGGATGGCCCCAAGCCCCAAGATGGCCCAAGAGAGGCCCAAGAGGGGCCCAAGAGGCCACCCAAGCTGCGCTAAGAGCTGTTAAGATCGACCCAATAGCGCCCCAACCGACGATTTTGATGGTCCCAGGGGGGGTACAGAAATCGAGGAGCCCTCTCCTTTGATCGATAGCCTCCAAGAAACCTCCAAGAGGCCCTCCAGGGCCCCCAAGAGGGCCCAAAGAGAGCCCCAAAATGGCCCCAAGAGGGTCCCAAGACTCACCCAAAGGGCCCCAAGAGGACCCCAAGATCCCCCCAAAGAGTCCCAAGAGAGCTCCAAGAGGCGATTTTGAGGGCTCTGTCCTCGTCCTCGTTGTCCTCCTCCTCTTCCCTCTCGTCCTTCCTTCCCCTCTTGTTCCTCCTCTTCCTCCTCCTCGTCGTCGTGGTTGTCGTCGTCGTCCTCCTCCTCCTCCTCTGCCCTTCGGCCGCACGCGGGCCCCAGGGATGGCCCGACGAGTTCCTCCACGGCCACCCCGTTGCTCTCAGAAGATCTTCCTGTACACCTTGGCTGCCCACGTTGTTTCACGATCTGCGTCTCTCACAATCGGGCTCGATTGGACAGGACACGCGAGAGGACAAAAAAGACCCTTCCGGGGGCCACATTGCCACAGGAATGTAAGAAGGCACGTGTCGCGAGGCACAGGACACAAGGGTAGGTACCCCTGAGCTGGCAGGGTCGACCTACCAATCCGGGCCGACTGTAGTCCCTTTTCCCGTCGGCTCTCATGGGCCGGGTTTCTGAATGGGCCTGTGGCATGCACGAAGCGTGAAGAATTCCCTGCACCTGTCGGCCAGTATTTTTCTGGCCAAGGGGGGAGGGAGTATGATGATGATGATGATGATGATGATGATGATGATGATGATGATGATGAGGAGGAGGAGGAGGAGGAGGAGGAGGAGGAGGAGGAGGAGGAGGAGGAGGAGGAGGAGAGGAGGAGGAGTGAGGAGGAGGGAGGAGGAGGAGGAGGGAGGAGGAGGAGGAGGAGGAGGAGGAAGGAGGAGGAGGAGGAGGAGGAGGAGGAGGAGGAGGAGGGAGGGGAAGAAGGAAGGAGGGACGGAGGCAGGGATGGCGCGCCGGGCGCCTCGCCGAGGCAGTCCCGCCAGCTGGCCCCTCCGCAGGCGTCGCCGAGGGCCTGGAACCCCCACCTGGCGCGGCAGGCGGTGTGCCGCCGGCGCGAGGCCCCTCGGCAGCCTTGAATGGGGGCCTCCGGGCGGCCGCCTTCGGAGGGGCCCTTCGGCGGCCTTCGGCGGCCGCCTCCGCCGCCCTCGGGGGCCTTCGGAGGGGCCCTTCGGCGGCCTTCGGCCGGGGGGGGCCTTCGAGGGGCGGCCTTCGGCGGCTTTCTCGGGTCGCGGCGGCGCCCCGAGAAGCTCCCAGGAGGCCCCCAAGATGCCCCCAGGAGACTCCCCAACTGCCCCCCAGAGGCCTTCGAGAGCGCAGAGCGCTTCGAAGAGACCCCACGAAGCATCCATGAGGACTCTGACCCACGTCTGCGTCGTCGTCTCCGCCGCCGCCGCCACCGCCGCCGTCGCCGCTGTCGTCGTCGTCGTCGTCGTCGTCGTCGTCGTCGTCGTCGTCGTCGTCGTCGTCGTCGTCCCCCGTCAGGGTCGGCGGCATCGGCCGTAAGGCCTCCGCAATACCCCAGCAAAGCACCTGAAGAGCAACACGAGTGAAAAAGCAGGTCGAGTAGAAGGTCGGCGAGTGCAAACGTGCAGTCCTAGGCATTCCTCGGGATTCCCAGGAAGGATGCAGCCGAGACAAGGGGTGAGAGCACGGGCATGCGCACACTTATTCCCAACCCTCCTGCGTTGGGTACTCGGTTTGAGTAGAGCACTGTGGTCTCCACCTTCCTCCTCCCGCCTCCTCTCTCCCCTCTTCGTCTCTTCTCCTCGCGGCGATCTGTGAAACTGTTGCCACTTTCGAGGGCTGCTGGGGTGGCCAGCGGAGTGACGCCCCACGGGGACTCAGATTAGACCTCGCCATCCCTGGGGGGCTGCGATCTGTGAAACTGTTGCCACTTTCGAGGACTGCTGGGGTGGCCAGTGGAGTGACGCCCTACGGGGACTCAGATTAGACCTCGCCATTAGACCTCGCCATCCCTGGGGGGCTGCGATCTGCGAAACTGTCGCCGCTTTCGAGGGCTGCTGGGGTGGCCAGCGGAGTGACGCCTACGGGGACTCAGATTCGACCTCGCCATCCCTGGGGGGCTGCGATTTGTGAAACTGTCGCCACTTTCGAGGGCTGCTGGGGTGGCCAGCGGAGTGACGCCCTACGGGGACTCAGATTAGACCTCGCCATCCTGGGGGGTTGCGATCTGTGAAGCTGTCGCCACTTTCGAGGGCTGCTGGGGGCCCCAGCGGAGTGACGCCCTACGGGGATTCAGATTAGACCTCGCCATCCCTGGGGGGCTGCGATCTGTGAAACTGTCGCCACTTTCGAGGCTGCTGGGGGGCCCAGCGGAGTGACGCCCTACGGGGATTCAGATTAGACCTCGCCATCCCTGGGGGGCTGCGATCTGTGAAACTGTCGCCACTTTCGAGGGCTGCTGGGGGGCCCAGCGGAGTGACGCCCTACGGGGACTCAGATTAGACCTCGCCATCCCTGGGGGGCTGCGATCTGTGAAACTGTCGCCACTTTCGAGGGCTGCTGGGGGGCCCAGCGGAGTGACGCCCTACGGGGATTCAGATTAGACCTCGCCATCCCTGGGGGGCTGCGATCTGTGAAACTGTCGCCACTTTCGAGGGCTGCTGGGGGGCCCAGCGGAGTGACGCCCTACGGGGATTCAGATTAGACCTCGCCATCCCTGGGGGGCTGCGATCTGTGAAACTGTCGCCACTTTCGAAGGCTGCGTGGGGGGCCCAGCGGAGTGACGCCCTACGGGGATACAGATTAGACCTCGCCATCCCTGGGGGGCTGCGATCTGTGAAACTGTCGCCACTTTCGAAGGCTGCTTGGGGGGCCAGCGGAGTGACGTCCTACGGGGACTCAGATTAGACCTCGCCAGCGCTGGGGGGCTACGATCTGTGAAACTGTCGCCACTTTCGAGGGCTGCTGTGGGGCCCACGAAACTGTCGCCACTTTCGAGACCTGCTGCGGGGTCCAGCATAGTGACGTCCTACGCGGACGCAGATTGGACCCGTCATTCTACTTCGATTATCCCGCATCTGCGAT